GGCAGTAGATCAATATTCACCGGCTGCATAGGTAGTGAAGTGTATAAAATTCAAAGTATATAAACAAAACTGTGTCTGACTCTTTGGGGAAATAATCCACTTGTAGCTGCTCTCGCTAAAGCTGTCAATACACTTTTCTTTTATAATATAGTGCAGATCAGCTAAAGAAATGATAGCTGCTTGATGTGATTTGATAGACAGGTACCTCATAACACAAATAAATCCCCTACATAATACAACACCGTGGTCAGCTTACTCCAGCACTTCAAGGAATGAATTATAAAACAAAGGATGCCAGTCAACTAAAATGCTGCGAGGGACCACAACTGAAAACAAGCATCCATTTCAGCTGAGTTTTTGTTTTATTTACTCATAATCACTTAGGTGCATTCAAGTGCCTTTATGAGACATGAACCTTTTAATAATTGTATCTGTGGCTGAGGATGTTGCTCAGTGCTTCCTGTTATTTCTAAGCTTAGTTATCCAGTCATTCCCTTCTACACCCAAATTCTCTAATGGAGATTCAACTGTTGTCTATCAATGCACCCTGGTCTGATCATAAAAATTCACACTTATGACTGCAGCAAATTCTGTTAGTATGATTAACGCATACTGACTTGTGGCTCCTGTTACAAGATGTGTCCAATATAGCTTCATGTCCTCCAGTCTCTTGATTTTATAACAACACATTGTCAGTGATAACATATCTAATAGTAAATGTATATTCTGCATTAAAACTGGCTAAAGAGAGCAGAGCACAATATTTACAGCGTCTTCAATAGATAATAAGCCCTGTACTTCACCGAGCCCTGGAAACACACATTCCTTACTTGTGGATGAGAGAAACTTTCCCTCAGATTTGGGAGAATAATCAAGGATCATGGTTCCTTCTTCTTGGGAATTTCTGAGGATGAGTAAAGAGGGTAATGAAAACAATAGCTATTGTTTTAGAGTGCTTACATTGTGTCAGCTACAATGACAGGAGTCTTACACGTAGTAAGTCATTTAAGTCTTACTGCAACTTGCGCGGATGACTTAAGGAATATATTTTACTGATGAGGAAATAAAGTCTCAGAAATATTAGGTAACTTGCACTAGGTAGTACAACTAGAAAATGACAGAAGAACTGTAGTTCAACTCCAGGTCTGTGTAATTCAGAAGTCCCTGTTTCTCTACCACAATTTACATTAAGGGTCTGGAGAATGCAGAGAATAGTTTCTTTCCCTCTCCTGGCATTAGGGAAGAATTTCTCTCGAACCTACCCTTCAAATAGTTATATGGGGCTCTGAATATTGGCTAAGATTGGGCCTGAGCAATATAGTTGGATGACCTGCATGGTAACAAATGACTTTATATAGGGTACTCTCCTCCTTCCCCACATCAGCCTACTATGATACCTCTTCACGCTATGCATCCTCTTCCCAATCCAGCACTTTGATGCTATTGGAATTCCTATTTGAATGAATGAATCCATCCATCCATTCATTCATTTTATAATTATTTATTTTTTATTCACCTATCATATTAATCACCTGCTATGTGCCAAACCTCGTTCTAGAGGGCAAATAAATGAAAAGTTTTTGTCTGATCAAAGGGTAACTCTGACTCCCTTAAAATGCACAACCTCTTCCTGAAATCAGACTGAGTGATGATAGATTATATCCGGTAATAACAGTTCAACAAAGTTAATTCCTTAGCATTTCTGGTTTGACATCTTAGCTGAAGATATTATTTTTGGGACAGTAAACCATTACCATCCGCTGTTAATTTTTTTCAATAGACAATCTGTTCTACTTGGGAGAAGATCTGGAAAATGGTTAGTCATCTAAGTAGTACTTTTAAAATCAGTCAGCAAATATTTGAATGTCTAATATATGCCAGACCCTGTGCTAGGTGCTGCACGAGGTGCGGTCTTTGACTCTTTTCTCTATACACTCTTCTCAGCAACGACCTTGCCTCCCACGGCATCTATTCAAAAAACTCCCAAATCTGCCAACTCCAATACTTATCTCTTCTGAAACTTGAGGGCTGAATTTCCAAATGCTACCAGATATCATAATAATACCAAAAACTTAAAATATCAAGAAAGCAATATTATTTCCCTATCCTAGAGGTATCATTTTACTATTTATGCAAAAATTTGGAGAGGAAGGGTGGAGGGGTCAGGAAGTACATTTAAATAGTCTATTTTAGTAATTCAACCTTGAAGTACATAAAATTTAAGCTGGTCAGTTGCTAAGTCCCGTTGATTCTTCCTTAATTCTGTCTTTTGTATCCGTTGCATCCCTTCTCTTCCTACTATCACCATTCTAGCTCATTACCTGTTTCTCAGGCCATTTTGATGACTTACTAATGGTCTCCCTGCCACTGATCTTTCCTTCAACCAGTCATGCATACTGCTCCCAGTAAGACTCAAGAGGCAGTGTGGTGAAGTGGTTGAGAATCTGGGTTCTGTGGCCAGAATGCCTGCGTTCAAATCTCCAGGTTTCAACGTATAATTTGACTTTGTGCAAGTTGCCTAGTATTTCCGTTCCTCACTTTCTTCATCTTTAGAATGAGACTCACGATAATAACCTTCCCCTAGGATTGTTTTGAGAATTAAATCAGTTTATATATATAATACATATGTAAAAAATTCCTGGTGCAAAGTACTCAGTAAGTGTTAATTATTATTATCATCATTATTATTATTAAAGTACACTTTTGATCACATTATTTCAGCTGGAGCTGGTACTAAAAAAAAAAACAAAAAAAGATCAAATTCATGCTCTAGGTTTATAGGCCAAGGATTGAAATACAAAGCCCCAAAAGGATAAAAATATGAATGAAGACAAGTGATATTAGAACTGAAGCAAGACTAAAAATCCATGTAAGCCTAAGTTTTAAATTCCTTGTTGATCAGAGATGAAGGCCACCCTGGTGAACTGGGTCCGCATAAGCCCTACAAAGCATGGCCAGAAGGGCAAGTCCATGGTGACCAGCACCTGGTCGGAGTAGCTCTATGGCTTTTTTCACCATCAGGGAGACTCAAAAACTACTCCCCAAATGTATGAAACGATAGAAGACATGCTTCTGTGCTCATCATGGCCAGTTACCAGTAAAAGAAAGGGAAAAATAAAGTGGGGAGAGATTTGGAGACAGTGGTAGAGGCATAAATGAAGGCAGAAAAACATATAGAAACTTAGAGAGATTCCCACAGAGACACAAGGAGATATACACATTCATGGAGAAGTAGACTTTGACGGGATTAGCTTCCAATTTCGTGGCCTACACAGGGACTCTTCAGGTACTTTGGTCCGAATTCTGCCGCTAGGTATATACCTCACATATTCCTAACCTATAAACCTTTTCTCACATCATTCTTTCTCTTTATACCTTCCTTTTGGCCCCGGTTTCTCTCTCTCTCTGTGTATTTATTTATTTATAATTCTACTTATTTATTTATTCATTTGTATCCCCTCTACTGTGAAGCATTCATTAAATATTGTAGTTATAAGAGTATAAAGTTTTCTTTCAGTGAACATCTCTGGCAGTTCATTTCTATTTACCCATCTAGAATCATGTGTTGTTTTCTTCACTAGCTATAGTTTTCAAGCCTCTGTGTTATGAGTTTTAGGCTATATTGGAAACTTTTTGGAATAGGTGGTGTGTCTTATACTTACCATGTGAGTACCAAAGAAACAGTACAATAGTTTGTATAATATTACTCTGATCATATAAAAAGCTAGTGATAAGTAATAAGACCTACATAAATATAGTTACAGGTGGATATTCCTAGCATACTTTTATACCTCTTCCTATAAAAAGCACGAAAGCATATAGAGGGATTAGCAGAAGGCAAAGGTTAATCTTTGGAGAGGCAGACACCCATGGTTAATGGGTAAGTTCATTTCAAAGAAGAAAAATGATGGACTATGACTTGCTTCCGTGTTAGATCAAATATGGTCTATTCAACAGCACATTTGCTGCTTTTGGAGGGTGATTTGTGGTTTAAGACTTTTGTTTACGTTGTCAAATTCTTTTTGTGTTATCTATAGATATCTCAGTGCCTAATCTCTGCCTGGCATTTGTATTCAGGAAACTAAGCTCTATGTGCAAAAATTAAATATAATTAGGATTTTTAATAATTTCTTTTCATTGTATGTGTGCTTGTGTATGTTCAGGTGTTTCTACCCTCCCCACCACCTCTCTCCCAGAAAACTAGTTAAATGACTTGGAGTTATAGGAAATTAAAGACTAAAATAAATTATTATTATAGGAGCTATGCCAAAGGGAATAGAGAATGTGCACCAATACTATGAAACAAGTAATTAAAACCTGAGTTAAACTGTTTTGAAGAAAACCAATATAGAATTCTTGAATAATGTACTTAAAAGTAAGTGTATGTGATATTACCATAACCTAATTATTTAACATCAACATTCTGTCAAGTAGGTGAAATTCTTTAGAGCATATATAAATATTTAATATAGTTTGTGAATAAAAATCATAGGTTTAAAAATTATTAAATGCTCCGTCACAGCTAGTCCTCTGATTTCAAACAGCATAGTAATAGGTAATTTCTTAGGAAATGTGGTTCCACTTGTATTTTCTGTCATCATGTACATCTTTTATCTGTGGCCCAACTATTCACTCAACTCAATTTTCTATTTGTAAATTTTCCTAGTTTACCTCTGGGACAGATTTTTGGCAGTTTAAATGCTGTTAATGAATTATGATTATATAATTAACATATAGCAACTGTTTAGCTTCTGTAATATTTTCTTAATGCTGTAAGAATGATTTAATTTATTTAAAACTGAACAGCTAACTGATTTTTAAACTTTGAGAAAAATATTCTTTTGGAATGTCTAAAGCAAATAAAAATGATATTTCTTAAAACCTAGAGAGAATTAAATTTATGCGGGAATTTTACAGGATTGTCTATAAAATTATCACCTCTAGAGTGAGAAATAACAGGCTTTAGTATATGTTCTTATAGTGCCTTCCTTATCTTACAGATGAGCTCAGTGAAAATGTTGCGGCCTCGTCTCAATAGCATTCTTTTCAAGCTCACGTTTGAAGAACACATAAACAACATCAAACCAAGCATCAGAGCAGTAACTCTTGCCTGTGAAGAACTGAAGAAAAGTGAAAGCTTTAACACACTTTTAGAGTTAATTCTTTTGGTTGGAAACTACATGAACTCAGGCTCAAGAAATGCCCAGTCTTTGGGTTTTAAGATCAACTTCCTTTGTAAGGTAAGATAACATTTTATAATGCTAATTTGCAATAACCTCGTCTATGAGAGGAGTCACTCTAAATAGCAATAGTGCATAAGTCAAAAAAAATACGCTTTGGGGCCGGCCCCGTGGCATAGTGGTTAAGTTTGGCACACTCCGCTTTGGCGTTCCAGGTTCACAGGTTCAGATCCCAGGTGCAGACCTACACCACTCATCAGCCATGCTTTGGCGGGGAGCCACACACAAAATAGAGGAAGGTTTGTACAGATGTTATATCTCAATTAAAACAAATAATTTTTAAAAATATTACTGCAGTAAAATCTCAAAGAGTGTGCACATTCTTTTGTAGTATAGTACAAAACTCTTGCTGATCAACTCTTACTGGAGTTTGTAGATCAAAAAAAATTGCTGGGGCTGGCTTGGTGGTGCGGTGGTTAAGTGCGTGCGCTCTGCTTTGCGGCCCGGGTTTCGCAGATTCATATCCCGGGTGCACAGCGATGCACCGCTTGTCAAGCCATGCTGTGGCAGTGTCCCATATAAAGTAGAGGAAGATGGGCAGGAATGTTAGCCCAGGGCCAATCTTCCTTAGCAAAAAAGAGGAGGATTGGCATCGGATGTTAGCTCAGGGCTGATCTTCTTCAGGAAAAAAAAAAAAAAAGCTTTTGTAAAGTAGATGCAATCTTTTATTTCAATCCCTTTGTACTTATTTTACGTCTCTCCAAAAAGTATTTGAGGAGCTAAATGCAATGAGGTAAATAGCCAGAAATTTCTTTTTGAATACGCTATGCTTATTCTTCTCTAAGAAAATAATACTCTTTATTATTGAATAGTGTTGTGTTACTAAGTTTATACTAGGTATCTTGTGCATCAGCTAAAAGTTAAAAAAATCAAATGATAATCATTTTATTATTTTGACTGGTCTATTTCACAGTATTATTTTTGAGATTTAATTCTTGTTAAAAGTAAACAGAGAAGCGCAAAAGTGACCTCTATGTCCATTTCTGTGCTAGAGCAAACCACCTTATTCAAGGAAAATATCTGTCTGTTACAGAGAAAAAACTGAACAGACTCTGAGGTGAAGGCCTGTATGAAAGCTAGAGATGAAAATAAATCTGAAAACAAGCAGTCTATCCTTGACATCTCACTATTCTTTCACTTTTTTTAGTCTCACATCTGAAAACATTGCAGAACTTTGGTTAGTTCTTGAAGTGTATATTATAATGAGAATCCCAAAACTAGGAATGGATATAAATTTCTTTTCTATTCATGCATTAAATAGATGTGCATTACATATACATGGACTAGCATTTTAATATGTATCAAAAATGATTTACTTCTGGTAGTTCTAACCCAGATAGACGTAAAGAATAACATTTGCAGATAATAGGATGTATAATGGAATTGTAAGTATCTTTTTACTCCTGATTTATGTTTGAGGGGTATGAGAAAAGAGAGCAAGGAAGATAGGGAAGATCGTCTGAAATGCTATATTCTGTCAAAAAAAATAAAAATCATTTTTACTCTCTCTTCTTGTGATATTAGGGAACATGTGAAATTATTCAATAATGCCAGAGAGAATAAGGCAATGCTGGTAATACATTGGAATAAATCATAGCCAGATTGATAGGATAAAAATAAATATTTAAGACTTTTCCATTGTATTATATACTATATGCTCAATATACTAATAAATAAATACTAATAAAGTCATCCCTTACCAAGATGCTACTTGTTTAGAGTATATGCTCTATGCACAGTGAGTGAATTTTAAAGCATTCTTGGTTAATGATTATAAAAATATTATGAGTTAAAAGAAAATATCATTGGAAATTTGTATTGCATACCTATTTCATAATTCATATAAAAAGACCTTTAAAAAATATCCTAATTTGGATACATATGTACCTTTTTTGTGTCTTAATTTCACAGTATTCAAATTAATTACATGAACTGATTTTTTTGAGGCAAGAATGAATAAGTCATTTATACGCAGGAACAAAAGATTATATTAATCTCACAGAAGGATTTTACAGTTACATCTTATATTTGGGAGAGAAGCTTCTTCCTGTCATCTACCCGTCAAATAAAAGTTCTTCCACATAACGCTGATCTGACATCTATCACTAGAGGTATGCTCAAAGGATTCAGCACAAAGATTTTTGCCAACTTCAAATAAAATAAAAAATAATCTTGGGGGAAATACTATCATGTAGTAATAGGTGTTCTAAAAGAGAAAGAAGAGAATGTTTTAAAATCCCCCCCCCCACACTTTTCTGTAGGATTTGTATCTTTAGGGAAATACTTGTCATTAAGAAAGTGAAATATCATATACATGCATGATATTCCCATAATATCTAGGATTCAAAGGATGTTCCTGGAATACAAAGGATTCTGAGGAGATGTAAATGTATAAAATGACAGAAATTTACTGAAGTACATAGAAGTAGTTAGCTTAGGTTTGTAATCTGTTCAAAACTGAATTAACTAACTACTGATGTATGATTAGCTAGAATTGCTGTTAAATTTCACTTGTATTATAAAAGATTACTTGGTTCGTTTTTCTTAGTGTTTTTTTTCCTTAAAAATCGGGCAGAGGGAACTTTCTCTGTAGAGCACTGATTATGCTCTAAAAATGATACCATTTACCGCCTAAATAATTCTAATGATAATTTTCTTTCTCAGTGAATTTAAAATTGTAATCCACCACTTTTTACAAGAAGCTATAGGGTATGTTAAAATATTCACCTAGTTAAAAAGGAGCCATGGTATAAGCAGTTAAACTTATCAGATGTATCTTGTAGTAAAATACTATTAAAAATTCAGATGGTCACATTAGCTCCTATAATATTTGGGAAGAAAAGGAAAACAGATGGGTTAACCTAAATGTCAAATATCACGAACGGGTATCATTACTATAAGTACTACCCTCACCACAAAATGCTTTGTTGATTTGCAGCAGTGAATTATCACTTTTCTGAGTCACCAAACCAGGGTGCTGAAATGTAATAAAAATTATTTCCATGCAGATGAGTTCTCAATGTTAGCTTGTTCCATGCCTGCCTGTTGGTTGTTAAAATTCTAACCAATAGGAATGTTGCACTTCATAGTCATTTGTTATTTATGTTTTCAGTATGTAATAACATACTCTGCATAAGAACAAAACATCTAAAAATACTTAGCACTCCCTAGGCACTAAGCTTTGTGAGTGTATCAGATAAGGATCTTTGTTTGCAAGCAACAGAAAGTGACTCTGCCTGATTTAAGCAAAAAATGGTATGGAGAGGATGTAAAGTAGCTCAGCTAGAAACTAAGGAAAGGCTGAAGAACTTGGCCTTCAAATGAGCAGCAACTTTGGCAGCTTTGAGTATGCAGGGAGCCAGGAATGAATGGAAAGTCTTTTCAGGAAGTTGCTTTTGGGATATATTAGCTCAGCCATTTTTCTCCTCCTTTCCCTCTGTTTGATTCAAATTCTAAATAGAAAGAGAGACTGATTGGCCTAGTGTGAATTACTGGAACACCCTGTGTCCAAGGGAGGGCAAAGAACTTGATTGACAGCGCTACCAAGACTACCTGCGATGGAAGATTGGTCATACCCTAAAGGATGCTGTTATCAAAGATAGGGATGCCAAAGGTTAGGGGTAGGTGAAGGGATATCAGCCAGGCTCAAACAAACAAATAAAGGCAAAACAATAGATGGTTGGTACACCAGGGGGATACAAACAAACAGAAGACACACAGAAACCTCAAACAGCTTGTGGTATAATTGAGTAGCCAGGAAATATACATACAGAGTGTTATATAATGTCACAAGATACACCGTCAGTTAATACAAAAATTAATGGCCATTGAGATTAACAGGACTTCTGAGGAGGGAGGACGTTTTGGGAATGGGGATGGAGATGGACAGTACTGGTAAGTTGAAACAGAAGGATCTTGAAGGATAGGTAGAATTAGGTTACATGAAGGGAAGAAGGTATAACCTTATGAGATGGGAGAACACTGGGCTCAGAACCTACATTGTAGCTTCCATTTTGCCAATTACTAGCCAAATTTTCATGGCTAAGTCACTTACTCTCTCTGAACTCAGTTTCCTCATCTGTAAATAAGGAAGTACAGTGACCCTTGTTTATTTTCATAGAGTTGTTTTCAGGGTCAAATAAAATGATCTTTTTCAGAGTATTTTAAAAAATTATAGTGTTAAACAAATGGTAGTAGTGCCTTTTTTTTTTTTTTTTGTGAGGAAGATTAGCCCTGAGCTAACATCTGTCGTCAATCCTCCTCTTTTTGCTGAGGAAGACTGACTCTGGGCTAACATCCGTGCCCATCTTCCTCTGCTTTATGTGGGACCGCGCCACAGCATGGCTTGACAAGTGGTACGTCGGTGCGCGCCTGGGATCCGAACCTGTAAACTCCGGGCTGCCAAAGCAGAGCGTGTGCACTTAACCACTACCCCACTGGGCCAGCCCTGTAGTAGTTCTTTTTAATGACGGTACACAACTAGGAATAATCATGATGTGTTTGAAGATGAATTAGAAAACCATACTGCCTGGAATATTGGGTGTATGTTGGAAGCAAATGACAACATTGATAGGCAGATTGTAAGAAGATTTTGAGTTATTTGTATACTAGTTTGGATATTTTGCCTCCATAACTGTTTTTCTCTTTTGGAAGGTAACTCACAGCCCATTTTATAACTTATGAAGGCCAAAACCTTTCTTTTTCTGCCTTGAATTAATATCTCCTTCACTCATGCTATGACTTTGTAGTCATTCCAATTGGACAGAGAGATGTAACAAAATATGATATAGTAGAATTATGTGCTTTTGTACAGATGTGAAATATGTCGTACAAAGAACCTGAAGAAAACATTTAGGTTTACTGTGGAGAAGATTTTTTTTTTTTTTATTCATTTATTTTTTTGTGAGGAGATCAGCCCTGTGCTAACATCTGCCAATCCTCTTCTGTTTTTGCTGAAGACTGGCACTGAGCTAACATCCGTGCCCATCCTCCTCTACTTT